GAGTGAAAAGAAACTTACCCACATAATTGTTAGGTTTAAGTCTTAGATTTTGTGTAAGTGAGAATCAAAGTAGAACATAAAGCAATGTTATCGAAATTTCAGTTTTCTCTGCAATATGTTGTTGGCGTACCTTTGTTTGGAATGAATCATTATCAAACCTCTTATTTCAAGCACAATATTACACAGATTCCCGTGCTTGATGTGTTCGAGAATTGAAATGGTCAAAAAATAAGAGTGGAAACAAGTTGTAGTTGCTCTTTTGTCTGCTAATTTATTTACTCCTGTCTATATTATACATGCAACAAAATATTGTAGGATATTAGTTGTACTTGCATAAAGCTAATTCTAATCAGTATTTAGATTAATGTATGTTTGGAATCACATCCTTTGCCACATTCAGCACGAAAATTACGTCAAACAGCCCAAAAGACGCAGAAATTACTGGTGTCTAGATGTGTATTGAAAGAATTGATTTTAGTACTCATAATTTATACAATTTATTATGCTTAAAAATGATTTTGAAGTAATATGAACTAGTATATTTTAATATGTTAAATGTTTATTATATAACTAAAAATTTAAAATAAATTATGAATATAAATAAATATTGTGTTTGAATATATAAATTATATTTAAAATATTTGAATAAATAAATATTTTAAATATCTAAATTATATTTTATATTTATGATAAATAATTTATAATTTAACATAAAGTTATTTTTATTTTTTGACAATTTATTTTAAGATAAATTTAATTTATAAATAGTTATGATAAAAAAATTAAATTATATAAAGTTAATTTTTTTAAAATTCTCTTATTGAAGAATTTTTTTTTAAAATATTCTCACAAAAATAACTATTCGTGTTTTATATATAAAGACTAATTTTATTTGAACAATAGATATTAAAAAAGTGTTATTTTTATAGAAGATGTAGGGATGTTTTAAATCAAAAATTAATTTTGAATGTGTAATTTTGAGAATAGTTTTTAATGTCTATTAATAATTATTTTCTATTATAATTATCTATTTTCATGTACATGTTAACAAATTTAAAATTATTCTTTACATAATTTTATTCAATTATTTTAATGTTGTTAATTTATTTATTAATTTAACAGTGTATTTTAATTTTCAAATAAAAATTAATATTCCATCCTGCAAAAATATATACGAGAAAATAAATTAAAAAATGTACAATTGATGAGACCTGAGAAAAGTGGAGGAATAAATGCGCATCATAGTTAAATAGTTGAAATAGTTGAAATCCTATACAAAATTACAAATAATACAAGTAGTGGTTTTTTGGTAAGAAACTTCCTTCCAAGAGTCTTGGCCACAGATCACAATCTCATCAACCTGATCAATTAATAGAGCGACTTATGTACAATCGATATCGTGTTGAAGGAGGAATTAAAAATTAAATTATTTCAATAATTAATAATAATGTGTATAATTAATTATTATTATCATTATTAATCATAATTAAAATAATTTTTTAGTAAATTTACTAAATCCGTAAAAAATAAATTTATTAGACATTTTTTAAGATAATAGTTATAATTTATGTGAATAATAAAAACAGTTTTTATATAATAAATAATGAAAAGGTATGAAGTTATTGAAAAAAAATGATGAAAAATTTAGGGATAATTTAATAATTATTATTATTTTATATTTGAAAATTTTAAAGTTTATAGGTATGAAGTTGTTGAAAAAATCAGGGATAATTTAATAATAATGTTTTCAAATTTTCAAATATAAAAAAATATTATTATTAAATTATCCCTTAAACTTTCAATAACTTCATCCTTTTATAGCAAATTTCATCTTATATTCGAAACACCTTATAAAGGTAAAAATATGTACATAGCGTTCTTTATGAAATTTGTTTTGTGAAGCCTAAGCTAAACAAATTATGTTTTTTTAATCTTTCTCTATTGTGTGAGTGTGAGTGTTATGTCATTTAATATCAACCGCTGTGTTTCAAAATACTGGCATGTAAGATGTTGTCTATTAGTTACTATTTTTTCCTATCATGCTTTAAGATAGTTTCTCAGATACTAGTTTTAGGATGAAATCTGAGTGGGGTTTTAGTACTTGGTTTAATATGTGCTAATTTCATGCAATGCAAGGCAAATTAAGTATAATATTTGGATCGTGGAAGATCATGGGAAACTGCAAATGTTGGGTATAGTGATTGTCTTCTTGTCTAAGCAGATTTTTTTTGGTTATGTGACTAATCTAATTGGTTAGCTGCTTGGTTCTGGGAGGCCTCCATGTGATCCTAAGGAGGCGTATATTTAATACTTTGCAAGGTCTTTATTTTTGTCCATTTTTATTTTGAGATTGGTGATTCCCAAGTGAGGTGAAAGAGAGGAACATTTAGTGACAGCTGTTGTGGGGACAGAAGAAGTGTCCGTTGGAAACTTGAACGTTAAGGCCATCCATCATAAAAGCAGAATCTGAGTGAGACCTTCTTTCATACAAACACAAACACAAGTAGCAGAAGAGAATTGAAGATGGGTATGGTGGTTGTCATCTCTCTCCCTTTCATAATGTTTACCATACTTGTTTGCTTTGGATGTTACTTCTTAGGAAGAGCCAGAGGAAGAAAAGAGGTACAGACCAACCCTCAAGTTTATGGGATGCCAACTCCACCTCCAGGGGCTTCTCCTTCTCCTCCTCATTTCAAGCCACACAACACTCTTAATGTTTGAACTCTATTTCATACCATTTCGCTTTCACAAATATATAATATATACGTCATATATTATTATTGCCTTTTCTCTCATTCATTGCCCTTGTAATTCACTCCAATAACACCCCCTCCCTCTTATCTGTATATCTTTTTTATGCTTTCTTTTTTCTTTTTTGTCTCTATCCCTTGTTTCCAGGTTGAAACTTGAATGTTCAATCAACTTTGAGTAATATTCATTTATCTAAATTCATTTTTTCTCAAGTGAAGTGAGTTAGTAGATAGACCCCACCAATTCATTTTTTGGTTACTTTCACATGATACAATCAGTCTTTACGATCTTAGCAATTTTAATGCCACAGAAACTAATTATCGCTAAAATTCTATTTTTATTGGCAAAAACTTAAGTGTGATTTTTTTTTTAATTGGAAATAAAGTTTGCTATGATAATTATATATTAAGTTAACATTTTAATTTTGAAAAAAAAAAAAAAAACTCAAGACCGATAGCTTTGTTCTTTTGGATACCCTGCTTCTGAACGATGGCAAAGTTGCGAGTACGAGCGTTCATTATTAGGATACTCTTGTCTTTAATAACTTTTTCATGTAAACAACCAAAAGGCCCAATTGGTTTTTGGTGTAAACGACCCCAATTCGATGTAAGTTTTACAGTGTTATTAGAGAAAGAAAAATTCTTGACCCATTTACACGTTAAGTCCTTAATAAGGTACTAGTAAATTTTCAGTGTTTAGTACTTATTTAATTAAGCAACACTCAAATAATTTTACGAGTCTAAACTGTTAAAATTAATTTGAGAGTACCTCTTATATGAATAAATTTGATTGTACAAATAATTATCAACATATATAGTTAAAATTTAAAATATTTGATAGTGATTAATTTTATATCATAAGTAGGTAATAATGTAATGAGGTTGTTACAAACAGATTATCCACAATTTTTATATTTGGATAGTATTTTAACTTAGATGGACATGTGGTGTAAAAATGAAATGAAATTAACTAATTTTTTGTTTCATGAGTATTCATGATTCTCACAACGCAATGTCTAGATTGGATACACTAAGAATCAATTTTCATAAAATAGCAAATATAATGAGGTGATTAATCTCATGCTTCACTATCGACATGTATAAATATGATTAATTGTGTCTTACAAATAGTTAACAATGGTATGAAGTTAATGTAAATATCATTAAGTTTACTTCAAATATAGTTTAAAAAAAAAACTAATTCAATCAATTATTTCTCAAGTGATAATATTAGAAGGTTATTGAAATATTTAATACAAATTAATCACTTCAAAACAAATTATTTCATACGAGTGTGTTTAACTCTATGCATTATATTGACACGTAAATTAATTGATATAAAATTATTTTAATTTAATTAATTATTTCAAGTTTGAATATTGAGTGTTAAGAAACTTGAATTTTGGAGAATAAAATTGTATTTCTGACATTATTCTTAAATATAAGTTCATTAAAGATGTAATAAGTTTATTTTGGTAAAAACAAGACAATTTTATTTGAATTAAATAATGATATTGACGATAAAGTAAGAAGAAATTAATATTTAATACAATTGTATAAATTTATTAGTTAAATCGAAACAATTATGTGTTATTTAACCTATCCATAATAAAATAAATATTTTGTTTCTAATAATATTTTTCACTTTTAATTAAATGAAGGACATAAGAAAATCATTAGAAAAACATGGAAGAAATAGATAATGATGGTAAAAAAAGGGGAGAGATTGATGGTTGAGAGAGGTTGGCTAGAAATAGTGTAAAAAGTATAGAGGCCACACCACAAATAAAAATGATAGAGATTGGGGGAGGGGGGTGTGGCTGTGACATTCTTCTTTCTCCTTGGGAACTGGAAAACAAGGAAAAGGAGAAAAAGGTTAAACCAATCCTTCCTTCTGGAGCTACCATGGCGGTAAGTATGCATTAGAATATGATGGGTTTGAGTTTGAGTAACATAACATGTAATGCAATGCATGATGCATGATGCATGATGCATGATGCATGATGCATGATGCACGATGCACGTATATATGTAAATATATAATTGGATATGACACACGTACGGTACGTACACACAGGACAAGGAGACGGATAGACCATTACCTAAGTTTGGGGAATGGGATGTGAATGATCCAGCATCTGCTGAAGGATTCACAGTAATCTTCAACAAAGCCAGGGATGAAAGGAAAGCCGCTAAGGTCGACTCACCCCACAGGCATCATAATTCCAAATTCAACCATCATGCCGTTCTTGGCAAGTCCCAATGTGTAAGTTCAATTCATTATCATCATTTTATTCTTCCTGCTTCTATTCTACTGCTTTTTCCCTTCTTTTCATTTACTTTATTATTGCAGAAAAAATGGTTTTGCTGCCTACACCCGTCTGCAGAATCATGAGGAGGCTTCTCAATTCATGACAGTTAGGAAATGTAACATAATTCCGGAAGTCTGGAGCTTTGTTAAAGCTATGATGGCTCCTGCTGGAATCTCTTGTAAAATATATACATACCCTACTTTGGCCTTCATTAGGAAACTAATATTGCATCATACACGCAGTTTCTGGTGAAATATTACTGGGATTTCTTTTTTCTCCAAAACATGTTGGTTCCACACCTCATTCACTCGGCATTTTTTGGATTCAATATTTTTTTCTTTTTTCAATTCATTCTTCTCTGTGTTGTTTACACTGGAGTTTGACATTTCTGTGTAACTGTATACCATTTAGTGGACCTGCGTATTGTATATTTCACGTTGGGTTACGCTTGTAATGTTTGCCATCTCTCTATCGAGTCACACGGAAAACTAAATCATAATTACAGGAAACTGAATGCAATGTTACTTAGAGGATGCCATAATAATCCACCCCGTGAGGAATTTAATATTTAAGTGCATAAAGTGATACTATATATATATATATATCCTTACTTGAAAATTGAAATAAAATTTACGTAGTACTTTGATTCAAATTAAGGGTTAATGCACCCTTACATACTTTTTCATTTTTGAGGATGTAAAGCATTTTTTTACCAGGTGCATTGCACACCTGTGAAAATTTCTTGCTATGATTTCTATCTAGCCTTAGCGTGTCAACCATCAATCCTTATTTTTCTCCTGTTTATATTTAAGTGATAATAAGGTCTTCCAAGCTCATTAGTTAGAGATTACCATCAAATATGGAACGGCTCATGAATGTAGGTAATCAGTGCAACTAAGATTTAACCATCTTTTTAATGTTACAACTGAAATGATACACGTTTAATAATGAGAGAGATCTTGTTCCCAAAATGCATGTGAATTTCTCTTAAGCCGGGGAAATAAAGTAATCGATATGTCTACGGCAAGGGACATGAGATGTCCTCTGCGAGTTTTACCGGATATAAAGTATAATTAACATTAAATAACATCTTTCCACAGGTAATGGGTAGGGATGAACAACTGGTCGTATAAATATCCATGTGATGACAACGGAATAAAAGTTTAGAATAACATTCTCATTTGTACTGTTACAGGTTCTCAGAACATTTCGTAGCTCTAAAGTCTAAACTCTTGAGGTACCCAACTTTCGTTCAAACAATCGCTGTAAAAGGTAGACTTGAAGCGCACTAGCCCCAATCAGTGCTACTGATTCAAAAATTGCCTTGTGTACTGCTCTTCGGCTCATTGCATCGTTCACTGCATAAACATAGTCAAGAAGAGTTAATAGAAGATAGAGGTTTGTAGCTTTTATCAACTAAGATGCTTAGTGTTAGTTTTTCGGTTCGAAAGTTAGTAAATGGACATTTCACCATAATCAAGAGCTTTGGAACACGTGCAAAGACAACGGAATGTGTGAACAAACAATCATAAGTCACTATAATTCATTCATGTAGATATGATTGCATTAAAACGTAGATATTTTCCATCTATCTTTTGGTAACTGTGGCTGAATAAATTAGGATGATCGCATATTGGGACAGAAATTTCCATTGAATAGTATCAAGAATATAAAACAAAATGGCGTGCATAAACTACGGAGTGTTTGTTTTAAGGTATGATACTCCATTCCTGAGAATCACATTCCCAAGAATATTATTACAAGGAATGCTATTATGGGAAATATTTAAAAATGTATTCGGTTAGATTTTAACATTCTTAGGAATATTTTTAAAATTTAAAACAATTAAAATATTAATAAATAAAAAAACTAAGTTAAAATGGAAGTTACAAGTGGGTTAAAAAACCTTTCTGCATTCCCATGGAATACAACTTCTCATCCCTCACCATGAGAATAAAATGAAGTAAATCATGTTGTACTGTAACTATTTCCTGAGAAAAAACAATACCCAGAAATATTTTTTAAAACTCCAAATGAACATAAGAACATTACATTCCCAAATTCTCATTCCTGAGAATGAGTTTTTTATATATGAAACAACCACACTCCTAGGGTTTTATCTTTAACGTGAGTATACGTATAATTGATCAGTATAAAAGATTTTGTGCACAGAAAAAAGGCAGAATTTAAGATAAACAGAAAAATAAACCTTAAATAATACCTATTGCTTGGCGGTCAGTCTGAGCCTCTAACCAATGCTGTTCAAACTGAATGTTGTAGAGAGCTTCTTCCAACTTTCCTATCTGCTCCAGCAAAGGGGTGAAATGCTCTGCAGACAGTCACACAAGTTTCAATAAAGTTCCCTTATATTTTAGATTTCCATGCAACCCTAAGAGAAGTGCTTTACACTAGATAAATGGAAAAGAGCAAATATATGTGGACTTCAGAGAAGAGGCATTACCATCTTTTGCATGTTGCTCAAAATAAGAGAAGTGACCGACATGTACATCAAAATCGACAGTTTCGTGATAAGGAGACTTGTTGGTGAAACAAAATTTATGGACCCCTGATTTGTGAGCCACAAACTCGAACTTCTCACTGGTCTTGTCACGAAAATCTTGAATTTGCTCACCAGAAGGTCCCTTTACCTGAAATTCTTACATTGTGGTTTAATGAGATTCCAACATATTATTGGGTAGGGTAGGGGAAAAAAAAAAAAAAAAGAGGAAATATAATTTCAAAGAAAAAGGTAATTCATATTAATTGTGTACGCGGAATGTGGACTTGTACAGCTGCCAGATATATAAATGTCCAAAGATTATGAAAAAGTAGCATAAAAATACATATATAGATATCTGAATGTGGACCATTTATATAACTGTAATTGCAAGCGTGATACATAAAAATTGCCAGACAAGATCCATAACATCTCTACAAATACTCATTCTTGCATAAATTATAGAACATTTTAACTAATTTGCACAGAGAAGTTATCTCCGAACCATTGATAAATCTTTTTGCTTCATTAGGTGTTTGCCAAGCAGACATTTTTGCTATACATTTAGGGCCATATTCAACCCCGCAAAATTGACATGTAAGGTGAAGGTTGTCCAAACTTTATCCAAAGCTAATTCATACGATGGAGTTGTCCTTCACTTATATGTATTATTTTGGCTCTATCTCTAATCAAGTCAGATTCAGATTTTTCCCTATGTTGCGTGAATAGCAATATGGTATCAATACCGGGTATAGGTACAGGATAAAGCATTAAAAATTGGATACAGGTAGATTAATAAATTTTTAAAAATATATACAAATAAAAAATAAATATAAATTTATATTAACATGGTTAAAACTTATAAATGATAAGAAAAAAAACGAAAAGCATCATTTATAATATAAAAGGAAATTAAATTCTTCAACAAGACAATAAAAAAATTAAATACATAAGCGTTCAACAATCAATATTTTGTAACACCTAAATATGATTATGATATCACACTTTAATAGTTTCATTCTCATCATTTCGTCATCCATAGTTTCTGAAAAAAAGTCATTCCTAAATTTGTTTCATCAACAGAAAGAGTGGAAACTTTAACAATATAATATATGAAGGATCTTCTCATTTATCTCTACTAATATCTCATATTTTCTCACCCTTATTATAACTCTCACTAATCTATGAGAGTCGATATATATCCAAAAAGTACCCATACATACCCAAACTAAGTACCGAAAAAAAAAATTCTGAAATTTTTTCATGCTACATACCCAACACGTGTATGACACGACTTTAGAAGTATCCATACTTCATAGGTATTTTTCCAATACACTCGTTCATGCTCAGTAATAATGAGTTCGGTGCGTGAATAACATGATAAGAAGTCCAATAATGGACATATGATACAAGGATACATTGTGATACCATCTCAACATTTGTGCTTAATCTAATCCAATCCTACAAAACTGACTTGAAAGGGGAGAAGTGCACAAGCTTTATAATATTCTCCCAAATAGTTGAGCATGGTCAATGAATTAAAATTTCCAGAATGAGATTGAAGATCGACAATGGATCCCAGGATCTAGAAAAATAACAATTGCATAGTTATGACAAAGAATAGCATATAGAGCTTCTTCTGCCCCCCTACAGTTACGCGAATATAAAACCCTAAACCAATAGCCAACAGGTATGCTAAAGAGATAGCAATTATGGTTGGTTTTGACTTAGAATTCGTAGGGTTTATTTAGCTTCCGTGAACAGAATTTTGAAACAAAGTCCTATCAATAACCAAATTGCATAAACCAAATACCCCAAAGAGGTGGACAAGACAGGAGCGCTGAGCATTTGTGATTCCCATTCAGAGTGATGATGGTCAAAATTAAGGTAAAGAAAACAATAAGAAGAATAAGATCGAGCGAAAGAACATACCACGAGATCGACACCTTCGTCGCCGTAATGCCAGGGAGAATCAGCCTTAATAACAACGAAAGAGACATGGACAGTGTCACCCTCGTACTTGACATCATGGGAGAAACACTCGTCTCTGTCTATCACAAATCGGATACCCTCTAACCCTTGCAAGTTCCACAACGCCCCAATTAACACAAACACCAAAGCATGACTCAACGATAATAATCTCATCTGCAAAACAATCGATTAATTCACACACTCGTATCAAAAACAGGAATCCAGAAAAATCAATGGACAGGTACCTTTCTGTGTGCCTCTTCTCGAAAAATTTAACAAAAACGATGGAGACCAAACACAACACGTTGCTGATTTTTAATCTCAACGAAGTGTTTAGTTTAGACCTTAAAAAGTGTTTGCTGAAACTTGAAAGTTGAAACGGCGTCGTTGCCCTACCTTCCGCTTTTTTAATGCGCGCTTGTGATTGGACCATGCAGCTCATCCGTCCAATAAAAAGCTGACACGTAGGATGAGACTTGGCGTCCTCGTGCGCAAACAAAACCAACGTAAGTTGAGTTCGCGTTGTGGATCAGCGCTCTGCAGCAATATGATTCAGATCAGATATAAGCAAATAAAAAATAACAACTCATTTTCTGTGAAAAACTCCGAAAAGTTAATAACCAACCTTAATTAAGCATATCGCTTTTAGAAATCTTTACTAATTTTTATCACTTTTATTAAATTTCAATATTTTAAAATTTATCAATGATTAAAAATAATTATATATCTCAATAGAAAATATTAATCATAAATCTAAAATTATCTATACATTTTTTACAAAATTAAAATTAAAATATAATTTATATATTAATAGTTATTTTATTATATAATAAAATATATAATAAACCAAACACAACACGTTGCTGATTTTTAATCTCAACGAAGTGTTTAGTTTAGACCTTAAAAAGTGTTTGCTGAAACTTGAAAGTTGAAACGGCGTCGTTGCCCTACCTTCCGCTTTTTTAATGCGCGCTTGTGATTGGACCATGCAGCTCATCCGTCCAATAAAAAGCTGACACGTAGGATGAGACTTGGCGTCCTCGTGCGCAAACAAAACCAACGTAAGTTGAGTTCGCGTTGTGGATCAGCGCTCTGCAGCAATATGATTCAGATCAGATATAAGCAAATAAAAAATAACAACTCATTTTCTGTGAAAAACTCCGAAAAGTTAATAACCAACCTTAATTAAGCATATCGCTTTTAGAAATCTTTACTAATTTTTATCACTTTTATTAAATTTCAATATTTTAAAATTTATCAATGATTAAAAATAATTATATATCTCAATAGAAAATATTAATCATAAATCTAAAATTATCTATACATTTTTTACAAAATTAAAATTAAAATATAATTTATATATTAATTTATTTATATAATAAAAAATTATTATGTGCATTACAAAATTTAAAATACCAATATAATTTATATGATTTAAAACATTTATTTATTATAAAATTTGATTATAGAAAATAGATTTTATCTTTTGCATGCCAAAATAATAATTATAAGTATATATGGTTAAATTCAGTAAGATGTTAACAAAAATTAGATGATAATGTAGAAATATTTTACATTACATAGATTGACATGAATTGAGTAATGTAGCAATTTTGTACCATATATACATTCTTTTTTTATATGTTTAATATTGTATGCGATCCTTGTTGCCCACAAATTATTGATTATCATTATTTTACTAGACCGTAAAATATAAAGATTAAATATTATATAATTAAAATTTATAATAAATTATATATAAATAGAAATAGATTTACATTTCTGTTTTTTACAATAAAACATGTTTATGAATGAATCTGTCATTTGTCTGTATTATGTCAGTTTTAGATATTTTTTTTTCCTGCTGGAATACGAAAAAATATATATAAAAAATAATAAATAAATAACTAGTTTAGGTATAAGGACCACTATGCAGTTTTTTTTTTTTCGTGGAAGAATCAAAATGAAATTTAAATTACTTTTTAGTGATTAAAACAAAAACTATTACTTAGTATTGGGATCGAATTTAACAAAATCATGTTTAAGTTGTTTTTTTAATACAACAACTTATGTTTTGGTCTTTTTTATTTTATTTTGGGAGTGAATATTTTTTAAGTTTTTATGATTCTTCTATTACATATTTTTTGAGAAGTTATCATCATTTCCAGTAGATGCCATGAATATTGACAGAGATAAAATTGAAAGAAATAAAAATACTTGTTCTAATACAGATTTCAAGCGTCGGGTTAAGATAGAGTAAACTTTCCGTGCACGGCATCTAATAAAATAACATATTGGCTAGCAAATCATTCCAATTTTAAGTTGCGTGAGAAAAAGGGTTGATTTAAATACTTGTTTAATATTTTTTTAATAAAATAAAACATGCATAAGTTCAAATGTGAATTTTATGTGAATATGTTAAAAAAAAAAACTTGTTTGAATAGTCTTCTTTGAAATAGTCATGGAAGTAAACTAAACATCATTAAAAAAAAATCACAATATTTGTATAAGCTTAAATACACTTTCAAAATATCTCTTCTTTTTTTTAATTTATTTTATTTTTTTATAAATAAATGCTTAGATAAGATGGATTCCAAAGTTCACCACGGTCAAGATAATTCAAAATGTTCCTTTAAACTGTCATATTGAAGCTCGTCTCATGGACATATACACTTGTTATTATATAATTGGAAGAGTATTTTTGTAATGTGTATTAAAAAGTTTTTTTTATTATTAATATTTATTCAAAAATATTATATGAGAAACTACTTTAATAATAATCTTGTGGTGTTAAATATATTTTAAGTCATTAGAAATATACTTTTATTCACCTAAAAAAATTAATTACTTCCTCTTAGTTTTATCATTTTTTAAAATATGTGAAATGTGGTCTTGATCTTTCATATAAGAAAATAAAATAAAATAATCCCATTTTAGTTACTTGTTTATAAAGATAAGAATTATAGTACATCTTATCATAATATATTTAAAGCAAAATAGTTATCCAACTTCTTTTGCTCGTTTAAACTAAAACTTAATATTCTCTATTTAATAATTTGTTATCTTATAAAATAAATGGTTATTAATAGAATTTAAAATTTGAAATATACATTTAACTTTTTTCATTAATGTTTTTCTCTCTAATATACATTTAACTCACATTTATTTATTGTCTTTGTTCTCAATGAAACATTCCGTTGTAAAAAATGAGAAGGTTATTGACTTAAACCTTTAGAACTTGTCATTACTTAACTTTTCTATTATTTTTTCTTTTATTACTAATACCCTTTGTATAGTGTGGTAAAATAAATATAGACAATATATATTTAATTACGTAATTCATTTACTTTTCTTCCACATCCACAAATGTATGCTGTTTTCGAAAAAATAAATTGCAACGACAACTTTAATTTAGATTAGCAAGTTGCCTTTTAAGTTTTCACTAAAATAAATAAATAAAAAAATGCTATAATTAAGAATTAATATTTTAAACTTCATAAAAAGTATTATTAAAATGTCTATTACACTCCTTTTTTTATATCAATTAGATTCTTTCTTTAATATTTTTTATCTTCTCACTCTATAACAAATAATTAAGAAAATAATATTTAATATTTTTTTATATTATAAAATGACAATTAAAATGGAACATATTTGTGGCAGTCGAATGTTAGATTCTGTCCTTTAGACTAGCAAAGCACATATATTTACAATCATGCATAGATGAACCTCACCTAACCATTTCCTTCTGAAGAGCAAGGCCTTGTTCAGTTCGCCTGTGGGAGGCAGCACCAAAGCCAGTGGTAACACCATAAATGGCAGTCCCTTTTTTAATGTTTTCTATGATCCACTCGCAGCTGGCGTCGACGCCTGCCCTTGCAGACTCTGAAAGGTCAACCTTAGCCTGCAAGTTATGGTTGGCAACAGCAGCCACCTGTGATATAGTTAGTGTTTCTCCCCCACCCACACAGATCACTGGCTTGCGGTACTCTGCCACCATGCGTTTTACTTCGTCAAGGTGGCTACCTTTGAGTGAATCCGCTGCCTCACCCCAGTTCAGCGGATCTGTGTCACTCACAGACAACCACTTCGACTCAGAGGAAACACTTTGGCTGCCAATTTGTGGAATAATGGTCCCCATGTTCGTGAACTCCCACTGTACGATACCAAAAGCCGTACAGGAAAAAGACACTTTGAAGCTATAAGTAGAGGTTGGTGCTTGGTTGGTGAGTATGAGTACTGATGAGTGTTGGGGTAGGTGGTTAGGTATTTCTGGGCTTTCGGTAGATCGCAACTGATGCTACTGTTGACCGAGTCATTTTTGGCATGTTACAATGCTTTCAGTATTACTAAAAACAATGCGGGAGAGCATAATGGTTGAACGTTTCGAGTAGTCTGGCCGTCCGGGTTTTAGTTTGTCATAACCCGGAAATAGATTTACATTTCTGTTTTTTACAATAAAACATGTTTATGAATGAATCTGTCATTTGTCTGTATTATGTCAGTTTTAGATATTTTTTTTTCCTGCTGGAATACGAAAAAATATATATAAAAAATAATAAATAAATAACTAGTTTAGTATTTTGAAAAAAAATCCGAACCGAATCACTTTATAAACCGGTTCAGTTATCCGATCCATTTTTACAAAGTAGATCGGTTCGGTTCAGTTTAGTTTTCTAAAAAAACCGACCCATATATGAGTAAAAAAGTCGATAACTGCGCCGCACCGAACCGATCCAATTTCAAAAAAACCGATCCATATTTTAAGAAAACCAAACCGGTCCACTTTATAAAAAATGGATTGGTTAATCAATCCACTTTTATAAAACGGTTCGGTTCGGTTTGGATCGGTTTTTTGAAAAAACCAATCCATGAACACCCCTAGAAAAAAGTGGTGCATTTTTCTGTTTAAGTGCGAACTCCCTTTCTTTAATACTGATTTCTCTTCTTCATTTTCTTTCTCTTTTTTTTTATATATTTTTTAAGTGTACAGAAATCGGGTTTGCGGATCCCCATTTCTCAACGTCATTTTAAAAAAAAAAAATTATAAAAGTAAGTACACCGAGTCTTAAAAATTATTTCTTTAGTTAAATTTCATTAAGTTTTATCAACGATTAAATTCGTTAATTAATTCCGACATAATTAAAACAACCATAAATTTTAGATATATTGTTAAATATTACAATCCCAAGCATGTGGTTCAGCAGTAGGGGTTGATTAAAGTTAGGGGTTCGAATCATGTTTTATGTATGCAGTCGCGTTAAATCTTGGGGCCAGCTATCCCAGCCTTTGAAGTGCCTCCAACCTAGCGAGGAGATTAGTCACTGCTATCGGCCTTAAATACTCCAGGAACGAATCAAAAAAAAATATTATACAAATTTTTTAAGAATCGATACTCAAATCATAGATACTTAAATGATCTAGTTTATTTGTGTAAACTTATTAAATAGAAATTAAACATTTCTTTTACAAAAGAAAGTAAGAAGATTTTCTAATTAAATCATGAGATGAAATAATTATTTAACTTTCTTACTTGATTAATTAAATCAATATTTCCTTATCTAGTCAAAATTTAATTTTCTCTGAGGAAATTAGTTTGCATTTAATTAAATAAGAGAAGGCTGTTTGAAAATTTTGTAATTAGTCTATGACAACTTAAAAGATAACAATTAGTGGTTGTTTTAAAAATTTAAGAAACTCGATTAAAAAATTAATGAACAAATCACAATATTTGTAAGTTTGGGACCTAACTAAAATTTTTTAAATAGTTCAAACACTTACTAATTAATTTAACCGTTTATTTAATATTATACTTATAACTTTCAGTATAATATATTAATAGTTTCTTAAGTTGTTTGCAAACTTTTTATTAGATTTCTAAATTAAAAAATATATAATTTAATTTTTAAATTTCTATAATTTTTATAATTAGTAAAATTGCTGAAAATATGTTATTATTTATTGTTTTAACACACCATAAAATTTATTAGAAAAATTGCTTAAAAAAACAAAAACATACAGCAACTACCTAATAGAACCGAATAGGAGAAGTGGTTGATAGCTTCTTCTAGACTCCGTCTTCAATCCTTTCTTCTCTTGAGGTTGACTTAACAATGGCGGAAGCATCTTGAAGAACTTCAATGTTGAAGAAGCAACAAGGAATGTGTTCGGTTACTTCCCAAGGAAGTAGAAGAGTGAGGCACCAAGGTAAAGGTGGAAACCTTTGTGAGGAACCTAGAGAGAAGAAGTTCTCCATGGATTCTATGGCTTTGGAAGAGAGAATTTGAGAGAAATTCTGATTTCATTCATCCAAAGTGGGAGAAAATGAGAGGTTTACAAATTTATAGAAAGAGGTAGCTTAAAGAGCAAGCTAACCTTAACCATGGTTCAAGAGAACCATGGTTTGGTTGCTTGACCGGCCAACCTAGTTTAGGAGGCTTGTGGAGCAAATTTCTATATTAGCTTGCTTGGGAAGCAAGCTAAGTTAGAAGCTTGTAGTACAAGCTTCCTAAAGCTTTAAGAAAGAAGAGAAACAATTCGGCCAAGAATGAGCTAAGCGGCCTTAGGCTAGTTTGGCTCCTTAAATCCGTTCAAAAAATGTTCAATTTGGTTTAGTTAGGTTCATCAAAAAATGATAAGACCTAGCTAAATCAAATCCTTGAAAAATTAGGAACAAAACAAGTCTAATATATATAATTTTGCCTAGACCCAATTCTGGTCCAATTACTAGTCACACCCTCAAGCATTGCTAATTGTCACCCCACTTCTATTACTAAAAAAATTGAAAAAGAGTGACCTTCAATACAAGGTTAAATGGAGTAAAAGTTTCTAAAGAACCTACCCTATAAACAATATACAATAAATAAAATGCCTCATAAATACAAAGACAAAATAAACCTATATAAATAACTACTATATTTACAAACATATGAAAAGGTCTTCAAAATTATCTCATTCCTCTTAGTTCCTTTAATATATCACCTATTGGATTCCTTGACCTTGACATATTTCCATCACTACCTATAGTCCTACACACATATATAAACACAACAACCAAACTATATATCACTGTTTTAAAATTAAAAAAAATAAAATGAAAAGAAACTTAAAAAAAAAAAAAAAAGATTAATGCATCATTTGGTCCTGAATTTTCTTAAAAATTTTAACTAACTCCTTAAATTAATTTTTTTAATTAGACCTTCATCTTTTTATTTATATAATTTAGTCTTACATATGAGGATAAAAATACTTTATGATATTTCACGGATTATAAACAATTTTGTAATTTCAGAGACTAAATCATAAAAGTATTTTAAAAAATAAAGGATCTGATTATAATTTTTTAAATTAAACTTATTAAAAAAGACGTATTAAAGGGACAAAAAAATATCGGAACAAATGAGAGCCAAAGATGGGGTGGGTAAGTCTTTAATTATTCACATGCGTTATTGAATTTTATTTATTTTTTTTAGCAGCCTTAAAACATATCCGCAGAAAAGGGTTTGGGGTGGGTAAGTCTTTAATTCTTCACATGCATTATTTTATTTTATTTTACTTTTTTTAAGTACGATCTAAGATTTTTACCTAAAAAAATTGCTATCTAATTTGTTCATTTTGAGAGTATAACTTATAAGCAATGAGAATTGGAAACTACTAAGGTTAGTCTGAGTAAGGAAGGATTTGGAGAGTTAAAAACATGAAAATTTAAGTTTAATTCTCATTGCAATCATTTTTGTAATTTTTTTATCTTAAAAAAAAAAAACTTATAAGCAATGGATTAACGACAAATTGCTCTACTAAATCATTTCATACCAGCTAATATTACTGTTTAATATAAAACATTTGCTTTGGAACCATTTATTTGTATAAAAAAATATCAAAAAGCAATATGAAAAACATAGCATTCTATTAAAATGATCCTTAGTTATTTCTCTAGTTAGCTACTACGTTGTATATAAGCAATGTAATTTTCAGATCCATCATTGTTTGCAACACAAGTTATAAATGCCAAAAGGGAATAAAATACTATATATGAAATAGAATTAATGATGATAACAACCATACCATAGCTACCACATCCAAAGTCATATGGTACGAATAATATTATTTTTCACTTTATATCTTCACAACATTTTACATTTTTTTTTCTCAATCTCGTCATTTTATCTTATTTTGCATTTTTCTTTCTTCTCATCTTATATTTTACAATACCTTTTATTTTTTACTCAAAGAGCACTTATATAACTTTGTTGTTTTAAGAACTATTAAGAGAGTGTATTATTTTAAGAATGAAAAATATTAGAAGAATAAGTTATACTTTAGTGTTATTTTTAATTTGTATAATTTCATAATTTGATACTTGATATTATGAAAAATGTAAATTTAATATTTTTTTAAAATAATCTTCGTGAGTTAATTTGGTCTATGAAATTAGTAACATTGATCAACTTGTTCCTTAGTATTATTAACACGTTCATTTTAATGATCAAATTGATGTTTACTGTAACAAATTTGGTGAAACTGTGAAATAATGAATATGCATCGTTTTTTATCCTCTTTCTCGATATCAATTTGACAGCAAGTTTCTCCTTAAAAAATAAATATACATATACATATATAATAATAATAATAATAATAATAATAATAATAATAATAATAATAATAATAATAACATATTACGTGAATGAACTTTATCTTTGCAACAAAGGAAGTGGGTTGGTGTAACTCAAATACTAACACATTATAAAATTCTTAGGTAAATTATGTTTATCAAATATTTAGAGAAAGATTGATGATAAAAATTTCCGAGCTCAAATAGTATCCAATAGTAACAAAATATCAATAACTGATCAAAATATTGTTTTATTTTCTAAAAATACAAAGATAAAAAAGAGTGTTACATACGCAGAGAGTATATCAAATAAGAATTCTTCCCATTTTGAGAAATTAAAATTATAAACATAGATCATTAAATTACACCAATAATATATATTATTAAAAACTAGTAAATGTCAAGTATAAAATTACCTACCTATAAATGCTTGATTCAAAATTTTAATATGTATAATCATTGAGATAGTATTATAATATTGAATTATTATTATTAGTATTATTATTATTATTATTATTATTATATAACCATAAAAAATTATTAAGATTTGATGTCATGTAATTACTTAAAAAGTCATGTGATATTTAAAAAAAAAAACAATTGGTATGTTTCAATCTTGATTCATGATAAGATATAATGGACAATATATATTTACTATTACTCAATCATAAATTGTTATGTGATTGAAAATTGTTAACTTTTATAATAATTTTTTACAGGAAATTTTATAATAATTATTTTAAAAATATATTTAAGGATTTTTTTATAACTTAT